ATATATATATATATATATATATATAAAAGAAGTAATAAAATGAAATAAAGACATATGGTGGTTGAAGGGATAATAAAGCAGGACCCTTACATATGCTGTCTACAAGAGGCCCCCTTCAGTTTGAAAGATACACACAGACCGAAAGTAAAGGGATAGAAAAAGATTTTTCATGAAAATGGGAATAAAGAAAACAGCTGAGGTAGCAGTACTCATACCAAGCAAAACAGACTTTAAATCAAAGGCTCTAACAAGAGACAAAGAAGGACCCAGCAATCCACTTCTGAGTATTTATCCAAAGAAACCCAAAACACTAAATCAAAAACATGTATACGTTCACTGCAGCATTATTTACAATAGGCGAGATATGGAAGCAACCTAAGTGTCCTTCAATAGATGAGCAGATAAAGGAGAAGTGGTGCATACATACAATGGACTATGACTTAGTCACAAAAAAGAATGAAATCTCACCATATGCAACAACGTGGATGGACCTAGAGGGTGTTGTGCTGAGTGAAATAAATCAGATAGAGGAAGACAAATGCCAAGTGATTTCACTTATATGTGGAATCTAAAAAAACAATGTAAATGAACAAGCAGAATATAAATAGACTCATAGATACAGAGAAGGTTTTGACGATTGCCAGATGGGAGGGGGATTTGGGGGAATGGGTGAAAAAGGTGAAGGGATTAAGAAATACAAATTAGTAGTTACAGAATAGTCATGGGAATGTAAAGTACAGCACAGGGAATATAGTCAATAATATTCTAATAGCTATGTATGGTGTCAGATGGGTGCTAGATTTATCAGAGTGATCACATTGTAAGTTATATAAATGTCTAATCACTGAGTTGTACATCTGATACCAATATATTCTACACCAACTGTAATTGAAAAATTAAAAAGCATTAAAGTAAAAGAAAATGCATTAGAAGTGAAGATGGCTACCCCTGCCTGACTCTGACTAGTCTGGGAAGGCAACCTGTGCATTACTGTGTTGACCCCAAGAGTAAATCTGATGAGAAGGGTTCCTGGTGGCTAACTGGGCTCAAATTTATAAACAGAGCCTTCCAGTCATTGCTAAACAGGGGCCTCTCATGTAAGCCACACTTCAGGGAGGAGCCTACACTGAGCTCCCTGCCTACTTGCACTGTGTCCCTATTGGCTGAGCCAGCCCTCATGAAGAAGTTCATGGAATTGCATTTCAACCAATAGGAATGAGACTTTCTTGATCCAGTCAGAGCTGCACAGCTATTTCCTCATTAGCATCCTCACTAACCAATTAGAGTGGCTATATTTTGACCAGTGAAGACAGTGGTTTCGGGACAAATCAAACTGTGAGGATGTGGAGTCCTCATTTGTATCAGGGATCAGGGGTGGGGACTTCTTTCTATACATCAGCTCCCCTCTGGTTGGGAGAGTGCACTTTCTCTTTGCACCAAGACTGCAGACTGAATTTTCACTGGAACAGAGCAGAGCAGAGCAGAGCTGTCTAACCAGAGGAGTGTCTCACCCAAGGGCTGCCTCGGAGACACGCGGTTCCACAACCATGCTGTTTTATAATTGAGCTATAACACTATTGAGCTGTATCACCACTGTGCTGTTCTCCAGCTGTGCTGTGTCACAACTTCAGAGCTGTGTTCACTAAATAGTTTCCTTTTTCACCGTACTTCAAATTGGGAATACCTGTTAGTGTTGAACTGGCACCAGTGACCATTGGCTGACAACTGCTTGGCCTGATGTTGGCTGCTGCTGAGATCAGCGTTACCATGGCCTGGACTGCCAAGCCACACATCCCTGCCTCATGACCCTGCTCAAAGGTGTCCACAGCCTCCACTCTCACGGGTCGGCTGTTTTCTCTCATTTTCTCATGCCTGGGTTTCCAGTCCTTTCTATAGACAGCCAGGATAGTACAGAGACCAGCAGTCCCTCTGGACATGGTGAGGGTGAGGAAGGTGGTGATATTGCTGATTTTCTGAGCTTGAACTGAAATTCAAGTGTTACTGTCTTACTTACCAGGGAACTGAGTCAAAGACAGTTTTTTTCCTTCCCTCCAAAGCCAATCACCTCATAAACCCAAGCCCATAAATTCTCTAAGACAACTGAAGAACATCAAAATATAGTTGAGACCAGAGCTGACATTTCATTTGACTCTTGCTTATGTAGTGGATCCCCCCCAACCCCC